TATATATCCTGCACTGACTAGAGGTTAGCAGTAGGTTAGGAGAACTTTGGTAGCTAGAGACTGACTGGGTTTTCTACCTTTTTTGTTGCTAACGCAGTTCAGCTGAATCAAATACAGTCACATGGTCACAGCCAAACAATAAATCAATCAGGGACCATAAACAAATAACAAACGTTCCCGTTGAGGAGYCCTGAACATGACCGGGTTAGTCCAGAACCTTATTGGACTGTACACTGGTCAGATTAACATCAAAATCTCTCAGAAATCAGGATCTTTTTTACAAAGCTTTATCAGCACAGAGACGACTCCATTTATTCTCTAAAACATGGGTATACAACAGTATACAGCAGTAATGATGACAATAAAACAAAATAATTACAAAAAATATATAAGATAAAAATAATAAAGAAGAAAGGAGTCAGCTAAAACTGGACAAACACTGAGCAGCGATACAGCTGCTTGGATGAGAAATGCAATATGCACAAAGATAGATGTTTACTTGGCCGGATCGTGGAGGGATGTCAGAACCTAACGTTTTAACTCTTCTCATGACGTCTAACTTTAGACACGCAAAGGTAAAACATTTGGACACCTGTCCCTGACTAAAATCAGCCGAAAAGTAAAACCCTCCCCTACTCGTCTGAAATAGAGAGGCGGCTGAAGATGGGCAGGCGCCGGCCCTCGAAACTCGGCGAGTCCGTTCTGCTGGAGGACGAGCTGAGGGAGCAGGAGGACGTGTAGCCCTCCTCAGACAGGGAGTCGGCCGAGGAGCACCGCTGAAGGCCGGGGCAGCCATTCAGAGATGTCAGCGGCTGCTGAGGGAGCTGCGCCGAAAGGTTTGGTTTTCTGGGGGGGAAGTCAGACATTGAGCACTTGGAGTCAGTCGTGGCGTAGAAGTGTGGAGCTGCATCGCCGCAATCGCTCGCCAGGTTGCTGACACCTGAGAAGGGGTAAGTGCAGTGTTTCAGAGCACCGGGCTCGGGAAAGAGAGGGGAAAGGAGCTCTGGGGTTCCAATGGAGGAGGGAGGAGGAGAGACTGAGGAAGCCCGGGTGAAGAAGAAAGAGGAAGACTCCTCAACAGGTTGGAAGGTGTGGGGCGATGAGGAGAACCCAGCGAAGCTCAGGCTGTGCCGCAGCAGAGGAGGCCTCAGCTTCGGCCTCGCAGCAGCCGCCGGGTTGGCTGCGTACGCCTCGTCTGCATTGTGGATGAAGTGGCAGCGGGCGCCGTACGGGCAGAACCCGATCGTGTGGAACGTGCGGCACGGTTCCGTCTTGTACTTGGGGTGTCTGCTGAGGCCCCTCAGCTCATCCAGGCCATGGGCGAACTGGCACTTGGCACCGTACTTACAGGTGCCGCTCTCTTCAAAGGTGCGGCAGAGCTCCGTCTTGTACCGGCTGGAGATGTGAGGCGGCGGTGCCGGTGACCTGGGGGAGGTCAAGGATGCGGCAGAGGTCAGCGAGGTGTTGCTGATGCACAGGCCCGGAGGTGGAAGCAGCGGCGGCGGCGGCGGGGACACGTTGGAAGTCTTGTCCTCTCTGACGTGTCCCTCGATCATACTRACCGAGCGATCCACCCTGAAGGGGATGTGGCTGAGCAAGGAGCGGGGCGGCACCCGGTTCCACTGCTGACTGGAGGCCAAGTTCAGACCCCCGAAGGCCGAYTCCATGACCTCAGAGCTGCCGCTGTTGAACTTAGAGTTGGGGAGGGTCACGGGGCAGAGGGAATGGCGTCTTTGGAACCCGAGAACTCGTTGACTGTGCTGCTGCGCGCAGAAGGACAAGTCACCTGCTGCTTCCAGGTCCTGGAAATTCTGACACACAGAGAAAAGACATGAGCTTTCTGCATCCATGAGGCACCTGAAGCAAGACCAGCTGAGCCAAGTCAGTCTGAAACACAGGTTTAGATTGGAAATGTGATGTCTGATATTAGCCACTGTTAAAAGATCAGCATGTTGACTGGACACATCTGAACTGACCACCAACCAGAGCACTTTAACCTACAGCTTAGTTCTTCAAGCAAGAAGGTCCGTCCACTAATACGTTAGGTGTCCAACGTTTCCTTCTARGTGTCGGTTTGTTAGGCAATTATCACTTTGTTAAATGAAAAAAACATATCAGTCGACCTCTAGTTTAAAGCTTGCACCATGATTCAAGTTAATCAAAAGTACTCATGAAAATATCTGCACCATAAAAAACAGTGTGAAACTTGTTTGCTTGTTTATCGGCTGCAGAACGAGTCCTTTATAAAACAGAACACACAACTTTCTAACAACTTCTTCCTGTTCAGCTGTGCAACAGTTCCATACCTTGCAGAACTCCTCGTCCAGCTCCAGGAACGGTGTCAGGAAGTCTGAGGGCATGATTCACTCCACCGTCTTCACCGAGTGAAGGAGCTGCGAGTGGAGGGCCGACTCTTCTCAAGTCAAAACAGAATAAAAAAGTTTCTGAAAGACAAATCCACTTCGTTTTCTGGAGATATGTCTCGTCACAAAATGTTGCTGGATTGTTTCTGGAATGAGAGGATGTTGGGGAGACCAGTTGCTGGTAAAACAGGTTGAATTAAATGTGTCGTCAGGAGGAAAGTTCTTCAACCTTCTGCTGGAATCTGTTTAAATAGTTGAGGGGAACCCACCCACAGAAGCCCACCCCCTGCTTCAGGGGGCAGGCCAGGAGTTTGTGTGTTAATGTGCATTAATTATGTGCGTGTGTGCGTGTGTGTGCGTGTTTGTGTGTGTGGGTGTGTGT